TTTCATTCTTACTTTAAAATATATTATTTTAGATTTTTTATAAAAATTTATTGAAATAATATAGTTTTAAGGTGTTTTTCATTCTAATTTTAAAAATCTAACTAATAAATACTTTTCCTATGTATGTAGACACATTTATCCATGAGTGAATTATTAAGAGGTGTTTGCTTTAATATTTTAAAGGATAGTGATTAGTACACCTATTGGTTTAACACTCGGATTAACACCTTCCGGTTTAGTCATTAAAAAATCACTATTTTTTAGTCTAAAATTAAAAACAAACAAGTATAATGATACAATTATGCACATAGGATATAGCAATCGACTGAATTGACTATAATTATGTTATATTATTAATGACTAAACCAGAGGGTGTTGAACCGGGTGTTGAATCGGTGGGTATACCAATCATTTTCCTATTTTAAAAATAATTATTAGCTATTAGCTCTAATCAAATGAACTAGATAATTTAAATTATAAACTACAAAAATTATCTACAATCAAATATTAACTATCAACTAACAATTACATTTTAACAACTTATCCAAACACTAGAATAAAAAAATTAGTGAGGATGGTTCTTTTTCAAAATCATATTAGTGTAATATTTTAGACTAACATTAAGGCAATAACCCTGCCCATCTTGAACTTGAAGGTTGGTAGGAGAGAATTATGATACATCACCTCCCCTAATAGAATATTCTAGCAAGTCCAAGCTTCAAAGATACTTAAAAAGAAAAAAAAAAAGGAAAAAAAAGAGAGACACTATAGTATTACATTAAAAACAAAATGAGAGTATTATCACATACGTGTATGTACGGTATCTAAAGATATTTTCCCTATTTTGTTTGCCTAATTTCTTTTTGCAATAAAATAGAGATTATAATAATTAATTCATAAAATTTAATAGTTATTTTTTAAAAATAATAAAAAATAAAAATAAGCTTAGTAAATAATATAATAGTAGATATTTAATTAGTAATGTTATATTTACAATGCTATGTTGGTTATAATCATAACATAATGTTAAATGACAATGACGGGATATCACAAGTTAATATATAAAATATCGTGATTAGATCCCTAAATAAAAAAAGCTAATTATGTAACAATATCTTATGTTGTAAAAATTTATAATATCACATAATATTATTTTTAATATATTAGAGAATTAGTTACGTGATATTTCAAAGTTTTAAACTCCTGATTTTAACTCTAAATCAAGATTTTTTAATTATTAGGTACAATTCAGTCAAGTTTTTATTATTATTATGTGATATTATAACTATAATATTTTTAATATCTAATTTTGAACTCTCTAAAATTAAAAAATATGATAACTAAAGATGAATAGAATACAGAGAGAGTGATCCCCCATGCTTTGGCCAGTGGTTTTAACCCTGAATTAGTGCAGATTACGAAAAAAAAAAGAAAAAAAAAAGAAGCAGAATATAGAGAGAGTAATTAATTCTTTTGTGAAAGAATTTGATATTTTTTTTTGAAAGCAACTATATTTTTTTCCTTTGAATGTTAAGCAGAGGTTCAAACCTCATATCTCAAATTAGCATGAGAAGTTCTTTACAAATAATTAATAGTTAGTAAGCCACAAGTCCGTTCCGGAAGGGAATTATATTTGAAAACATCAACATTAGGTGAGAAAAATAAAAATATCCTCAATAAGTTTAACATATGAAGATTTATTAATGATCTGAGAAACACATAGGCAAAGTAAAAACTGTAGAATACAGTTGATGATTAACAATAATTAATAATTATTATTAAAACAGTAGTGGATAACCCTTTGTTGCAAAGTAAAGCAAACATCCCAGTAATCGATTGAAGGATCTGACACCTATTAGACAAGCTGTCTGGATTGGTAACTAGTCGTACTCATACTTTTTGACTGAGAGGAAGAAGAT